AGCAAATGGCTGCAATATAACAAAGAGTGAAAAATTTAAGGGGGTCTGAATACTTTCCGTACCCACTGTGTGTATATATATATATATGTGTATATATATATATAGAGAGAGTGAGTGAGTGAGTGAAATTTTTTGAGGCTGTTTTACTTTTGTCTTTCTGAGTTTAAATGTTTGAAGAGTGGACAATGGGATTTGATTGGATCATAAAAAGGAATAATACCTACATGATTGTTTTGGTCATTATTGCATAACATTATTTCATAGCCTGCAGAAATATCACAGGTTTCATGAGATTCACTCATATAAATGATTAGAACCTTGGCTGCTGGTGAATGCATTGCACTTGGGCATTTTCTGAATGGTTAAAAATTGGAGTTATTTAATACAGCTGGAGTTCATAAGTCTATGGCCAACATCCAAATGGCCAGTGATCATTGTCTCAACAGATGTGGAGTCATGAGTTAGCATGATGGATGAAATTGTAATTGAGGTTTTATGAAAACCGTGATCGATGGATTTCCTGAAAGTCTCCATTTCATAATTACATTTTATTATGATTTAGTTGAATCTGTTTTTGATGACGTTGTAACAATGGAGGTTTGTGTTATTAGTCCCATATGGCTCGTTCCATATTATTAGAGTCAAATTTATTTTTGGACATATAACAGCATTGGTTAGAGAAGAAACGGTGCTTTCACTGTAGCTAGTTTCTTTGGATGGATCATTATGTTGGTATGATTGTCTGATGCCAAAATCATTTAGGCATATCTAACAGTAGGATTTCAGAATGACAATTTAGACTATACCTACTTTCTATAAGGGTTACTAACTGTATCCAGTCTAATCAAACTTTACCTTGTCTTGCAGCATTTTCAGCTGGCATTGATTGACTCCACACCCTGCACTTTGTCCAAAGCTGAAAGTAAGTACCCTCCAATGCGTGTTAATTTTTATTACATATCTTTTTATTAGGAAAATGCATTGTCACATTATGCATGAGGTTTTTTTTTAGCAGCGACGTGTGGTGTCTCATTGAGAGGTTTTTATAAGAAAAAAGAATATTTCCTCAATTTGATTTTTTTCTCTTACCATTTCCATCCTGCCTGAGACACCAGTTGCCAAGGAAACTGCGTGACTGGATTCTGCCGTGTGTTGCCTTGCATACGGGCAGTAATGACATGCTTGAATTGCACAAAGGGCAAGCTAATATTCTTCCTTCCCGGTGTCTGTACACCCATAAGCTGAAACAGTGAAGACAAAGAACGCTGGTTTAATTTTGGCCTGATATCAGATTTAAATGCATTGCTTCCATCAGAAAAGGATTTCCGGTATTGATCAGTTCTTCTTTTTGTCCCTTCAGTTCAGTTCCACATCGCACATGTATATGAAATTCAGGTGAGTGTTCCCTTTTTTTTGTCACATTTGATCAGAATATGCAGTGTTTCGTTGGTATAATATAGTATATACTCATGTTTTGGGGTATAATGTTCTATTGGTTCTGTATGGTATAGATGGCAACAGTGATTGTTTGCTTTTACAGAGACCTTGTTTCCTGAAGTAAATTCCAATCCATAGACTTTAGTCATCATAGATACCTTGTTTAATTTGAAGAAAATGAAGATAAGGCTATGTGGGATAGGCAAAGGATGTTGAATCTGCGATGTCAAACATTTAGATGACAAATCTGAAAGAAAAAAAGTACTTATTTACATTCAAACTTTTATTAGCAGAAATTGTGTATTGATATATTAACTTAAACATGATTTGTTACATGATTCCAGAGGTTTCAAGAACCATATGTTAAGTATTGTATTGAGGACATATTGAGGAGGTGGAAAAAGAAATATGTAAATATGATTTTCTGTGTGTGTTTTAGCATTTAAATAGTTAGTTATTTTTAATTTATTAAAGGGATATTTCCCCCAAAATGAAAATTGTAATTTACTCATCCTCATGTTTTTCCAAACCTGTATGAATTTCTTTCTTCTGTTGAACACAAAAGATATTTTGAAGAATAGTAACTAAACTGGTAGCTATTGAGTTCCATAGTATTTTTCTCTTTTTTTGCTTGCTATGGAAGTCGATGGCTTCCAGCAACTGTTTGGTTACCAACAATCTTCATATTCTTTTGTGTTCAACAGAGGAAAAACTCCTGCAGGTTTGAAACAACATGAGGGTAAAGTAATTTTGGCTGAACGATCCACTATATAATGCATTCATTTAAATTAACACTTTTTCCCAATTTTAGGAATTCCCTATGAGATCTTCATATTTGACAGTTATTAGCATTAAAAGAATTGAAAATGCATGCCGCAAATCATTGAAAATTTAATAAAATTAGACGTTATTAATTGTTTGTTTCAGAAAAAACTACCCAACATTACTTTCAAAACATCCAATTCTCTGCAAAAAACTGCAGTACTACTTGCCATCACTATTTTCATGCTACCATGAAATTGGTGATTGGTGAATCTTGTGATTTCACTAGTACTTCATATGGAATTGCATTTTACACTGTCGGGACCCTACTGTTGTGTTCTGTTGGCATTGTAAATGACTGCTTGTAAAGGTGCAGGTTCTAGAGGTTACAGGGCAGTGTTGTTGGTCCAGGGGTTTTCGTTTGCTCACAGTTTACTGCTCCTGCCCAAACATACACTCTTGATTGATGGATTTGTTTCTAGGGCGCCACCTTGACGTCGTGTGTGTTCAACAAACTGATCCCCACCCTGCCCTCCTGCTTTTGCTTCAGCTTGCCTTTAGTTAGTCTCTTGTCACTCAGTCAGTCCTTTGTTCAACTAGCATAGTTCTTATCCACCTAGCCTTAAATGAAAATGTAATGCAATTGTATTAACAAATTTACATACTCTTTGTTTCTATCAAAACTTTGCTGTAAGCAATGATGACTGCACTAACCAGCCAGCCAAAGCCTAAGTTTTACAATAGGTTGATTTTATTGTCCACCACACACCGATGAGATTGCTTTTAAGTTGTTAGACCATGTGTGTTTGGAGTTGTGCTGCTCAGGTTGGTCAGTTATGGTGGTCAGCCATCAGCCCCAGCAAAGATCTGTGTCAAGGTCACTAAGAAAAACAAACACTTATTCTGAGAGTGCTTCTCAAGTTACACTGATTCAGAGCATGCCTGTCTGACTTGTCCGACTTGTTAAGTCTGGTCTGGACTGACCCTCCCCCCTGTGTCTGTCTGTGTGTTTGTCTGTCTCCTCCTGCGTCCCCGTGTCTGGCCTGGTCAGTGTCCAGTGTGTTTCCTCTCTTCCGGAGACCATACATTGTGGTCTGTTTGACGAGGCCCTTTGTGTCCACCCTGAGGGGCCGTAAAAAAGTGCTGACCCTTTTGTCTGTTAAAACATCTCTCCCCTTCTCTGTCTGCAGAAGAAATACCACGTCGCAAAGGAAGCTTACGAGAGTCTGTTACAAACAGAGAATCTCCCTGTGCAGGTGAAGGCAACTACGCTCCAACAATTAGGTGAGTGTGTTTTACTTGCTTCCTGCTTCCCACAGTCATGGAAAACCTGGAAATATCAGAATTTGTGAATTGTATGCCTGGAAGTCTCATGGAAGTTAATAAAATAAGTCATGGAAAAGTCCTGATTTCGGTCATCAAATCTTTTTCTGGTTATGCTCAGCTATTAAATATTTCATCAACTTTAAATTACTGTGTAAATTGCAGTGTTCATAAAATGATCTTAAAAATCCATTCAGTAATCACAACCAGCTGGAAAAAGTTATGAAAATTCATTGGTCAAAATGTATGGGAACCTGGGCTTTATTTTCGGTAGTGTGTTTCTTATGTAGATGATTGTTTGCTGTGTGATTTTGATCTTGATTAGTCACACTTTCTGCACAGATTTTGCATACAAGATCTGGATCCGATTGTGGTAATAAGGAATATATGTGGCAAAATATGGTAAATATTACTGTCTTGGTGGGGGGAAAAATAGCATGCCAGAGGGAGTTGATGTTAATTTTAACTGGCATTTACATTTTTGGAATTCTGCACAGCTGTTTGTGGAATTCTGCAGCTACAAATTCCAAAGATTTGTAATGAGGTGTATTTTGAAATACATTGTAAATCCTTTAAAGAGAGAATATTTCATTAAGATTTTTTAATAATTTTTACACTTTCAGGTTAGGTAATTGTTCATCATAAGTCATTCATTTAGAGTTCAGACAGTCCTCACTAATGTATTGCATCATGCCATCTCCCCAAGTGCTGCTAGTGGTGTTCTCAATAACAGCATCCCCAAATGTACAGTCCAGGTTTTCTAAGATATGCTCCAGTTCTTGAGGGTGTGCAATTTTGCCAGATGCAATGGCTAAAAATAAATGTGCAGATTGCTTTTGGGATACCATGGTGTGGTTAGAAATCTGAGCTAAGAGCAATCCATAAACTGGAAAGTGGCACCAATGAGCAAAGCACTCCAGGATGAAGCGGTCAGCAAGGTACTTTGGGTTAAAGGCATCAATAAATCATGAAATTATTTAAATAATTGGCACAATTGCGAGTTGTGAATCCTCACACCGAGCTTCTTTCTGTTGCTAGTCCCAAAAGAAAGCAAAAAAAAAAAACAGCTGCCATATAACCATTGCCACGTTGCTCCTGCAATTGTCGGCAGTGGTCTGGTTGCTGTAGTAACATGTCCCGGGTGCAGGCGTTTGCCACAGGTGTTAAGAGCTCGGCTGGGATCAGTGTCTAGGAGAAGCCAGGCCACATGGGGGAAATTCTTTGTCTGCACACTGTCTCGTTCTCCTTAACAACCTCTGGCTGGCTGGGAATGGAGAGGAGAGGGGCTGTTTGGACAGAGCCATCTCTGCTGGGACCTTTTGAAGCCCCCCCCCCGATCCTACTCTACCTCATCTCCCCACCCTACCCTGAAGACAGCAAGAACAAACCATTTGCTCCCTTTATGAGTACCAGTGTAACAGCCTCCATAGTGCACACTGTGGCTTCGTGTTGGGGGAGAGAGTGTTCTAGTTTTGTTGAGAATGCAATTTCTTATTTAATCGTCATGTTTCCCATCGCTCCCTCAGGCTGGATGCATCACACGGTCGAACAGTTGGGAGATAAAGCCAACAAGAGCAGCTATGCTATTCAGTGTCTGCAGAAGTCCCTAGAAGCAGACCCCAATTCGGGACAGTCTTGGTACTTCTTGGGCAGGTAAGCAAAAATGTACCCAAATTAAATTAAATTCCACTTTCACATACATTACATTGTTTTTGTTTTTTTGTTATTGTTATTTTTTGTAACAATGCATGGTTCGAAATTACAATATTGAAGTTATATATTGAAAAGATTTATCCAAACATTTTGGCTTGTGTCTTAAAGTAGTCCTGCCAAGTTGTTAATGAAACTGAGACTCTTTTTAGTTTGTGTAGCTCAAACTTTTCAAACGATGCATGAACTGATTAAATGTATATCTTGAATCCAGTGTAATTTGCTGAAAGTGTCTTGTCAAATGCATAAACATATAAATATATTTCTTAAATTTAAGCTCTACAACTCATGTGCCAGATTTGAGGTGTTTTTGCTTGTCATGCAGGTGCTACTCAAGTATTGGGAAGGTCCAAGATGCCTTCATATCTTACCGACAGTCTATTGATAAGTCTGAGGCCAGTGCAGATACATGGTGCTCAATTGGGTAAGCTCTTAATGATTGTTGTTTATCATGTTAAGCTGCTGCCATTTATTATTTATGTGCATTTCTTGCACATTAAAGTGAGACACTCATGTTGTTTGCATGTTTTTTTGGTAGCTGGGTGCAAATGGGGTCATTTGGGGCTGATGTTGCCTCAGGCTTGGTTTATATTGCTCTCAGGGGAGAGACAGAAATGCTCAAGACATTTAAGCTAAAGCGTTCACCTCAGAGCTGTGTAATCACTTTCTTCTCACCATCCTAACACTTAAAGCGACCATGTACAAACTAGGGCTGCACAATAAATCGCATGTGATATTTAACGCGCATCTTATCAGTAAAGCCGGTTCTGTAATCAGCGTAAATCTCCATCACCTGCGGGCTTTCACATGGAGCAGCATTAACTACACAGAGCCGTTGTTCACTGACGAGCGGCGCAAAAAATCCCGCGAATATGAACGTGGTTTTGCGCAGCTCGTCAGTGAACAACGGCTCTGTGTAGTTAATGCTGCTCCATGTGAAAGCCCGCAGGTGATGGAGATTTACCGCTGATTAAAGAACCGGCTTTCTGACAAGATGCGCATTAAATATCGCATGCCATTTATCATGCAGCCCTAGTACAAACACAACTTTGTCCTATCGCCGATAGGTTTCTGAAACCCTTTTACCATATTGGACCAAAATGAACCTCCCGAAATGTCAGCAAAGCTAATCAGAAAATAAAAAATGGTACATTTGTATATAGTTGTTACTAAATGCTGAAATGTTTGTGTAATGCACATCAAAATAGAAACCAAGCAAACAGCACAAACCTTTCTACACCATTGTTGTCATTTGTGGCTTGTCGTGACAAAATCTTATATGGAAGATATGAATTGTTGCTTGATGCGCTATCCTGTGGCTGCTAGTTAGAAACCATCTGTTTGTTTAGTTTTCCCTTGTTTACCAGTCCTCTCTGCTATGTTTGTGTCTCCAGTGTGTTGTATCAGCAGCAGAACCAGCCGATGGATGCACTGCAGGCATATATTTGTGCAGTGCAACTGGACCACAGCCATGCGGCCGCCTGGATGGACCTGGGCACACTCTACGAGTCCTGCAACCAGCCTCAGGATGCCATCAAATGCTACATCAATGCCACGTGCAGCAAGTCCTGCAGTAACATCCCAGCTCTAACCGCTCGCATCAAATGCCTCCAGGTAGAGAAAGTGCTTGCACTTGATGTTATCAGGAGAGGAAGTGTACATGTTTCATTTTAATGTGCCTGTCGTGTTTTTTTTGGGTGAGGGGGAAGATGTTCATTTTTGAGTTCCTTCCTGTTTGAGTTGAATCACGTCCCCTTGTCTGACATACTATACACTGAGAATGATATGAGTGTCATTTTCATTTGTGATTTCATGCATACCACCATTGCATTGACTTAAGCTTAGTTGAATCCGACATTGAACATGTTTTCTGCGCAATCTTTTTCTAGGCTCAGTTGTGTAATCTTCCGCAAGGTAGTTTACCAAGTAAAAGTAAAATGCTCCCTAGTATTGAGGAGGCATGGAGCCTACCAATCCCAGCAGAGCTCACCTCCAGACAGGGAGCGCTCAACACAACACAACAGGTGAGAACAGATCAGCTAGACAAGCCAGTAGACAAGCCACTAGACAAGCCTCTCTTACACCATCTAATGGTTTTAGACTCACAAAAATGATTTGTTAGTGGTTTTGGTTCAGTACAGGTTGAGCTTAACGCCATTTGTGGCTTTGTTTACAACAGAAAACAATTGAAACTTGTCACTTAATTTTTATTTATTATTATTTTTAAAGTATATGTTGTGGCTGCAACAAGATATTTACTGTACAGTACAGCCAGATAACTATTAAATATTATATTCACTACCATTTAAAAGTTTGGGGTCAGTAAGATTTTAAGCAGCACAACTGTCAACATTGATGATAATCAAAAATGTTTCTTGATCACCATATCAGCATATTAGAATAATTCATGAAAGATCATGTGACACTGAAGTAATGAAGTTATTACGTTTTATAATATAATAAAATTAACTTTTTTATATCGTAACCATGTTTTACTATATTACAGTTTTTACTGTATCAAATAAATTAAACTTTTGTTGAGCTTTAGAGACTTATTTTGAAAACATTAAAACATCTTGCTGACCACAAACATTTGAAGGGTAGTTTATGGCTATACATTTGTAGGCAGTTGTTTTGAATCAACAGAAGCCCCGTCACCACTTTTTATTTATTTATTTTTTTTTAACGATTGAGCTTAGTCTGTATTGAACCTGTGACATTCCTTTAATGAAACATCAAATTGTGTGGTAAGGCCTTCATGATTAAGTACCAGTAAAAGGTCCTTAATTTCCAGTCATACAGAACAATGTTGTTAGTAACATTGCTTCTGGAGAATAATCTTAAACTGCTAAGGTTTAAAGTTATTTCCACTAGTTCATTAGACCATAGCACTCATCAACACACATCATCCTTTGTTTCAACATATTGGTCACTAATTTTGGGGAACTGTTTAAATCTACTAGCATATATTTCTCATATATTTAACTGATAAAATCGTGAGTGGGAAAGTTGGCATAACCTTTCTCTTGACCTGGCCTTTTGCTTATTGTGTAACGGAGCAGTTTGACACTGAAAGTATCAATATTGATGCTTCATTGTCAAAGTGGTGCAAAAACACAATTTGGTTTGCTTTAGTGAAATGTTCATGCAACTGTCCTAGCTGCAATTCTGTATTTGTTGCCAATAGCAAAACACCTGCAAAGCTCATCAGAGCAATGAAGGCCAGTCCCAAATCCCAGGCCAGTCTCTTCCCCCTCATATGGTCTCTGGCCAGACTGATGACCAGTCCGGCCCAGCCAAAAGGAAGAGGACTGCTAGTCCAGCCAGGGTACTAAAGGACAGCATTTTAGTAAAAAAAAAAAATAAATCTATTACAACTGTCATGCAATGTTTGATTATTTACGGGTTTCTCGTCTCACCATCAGAATTCACCTGATTCCTGGGCAAATGTTCCAGGTCATCATCAAGTCCCCAACTGGAGTTTAACCCCACAGAAGCTTCAGGTTGGTTGCTCATTCTGGATGTTTCTACATCTGTAAACTGTTTTTACAAACTGATAGCTTTGCTATCACAGGAATAAATTACATTTTAAAATATATTAAAACAGATAACAGTTCTTTTAAATTTTAATAATATTTCACATTATTACTGGATTTACTGGATTTTTATTAGAATACGTGCAGCCTTGGTGAGCATAAGAAACTTCTTTAAAAAAAATAATAATAATAAATCTTAATTCTTATGAACTATCCAAAGCAAACTATTCTGTTTTTTATTTTATTTTATTTTTTAACTCAGCTTCTGGAACAGTTACGGACCAACAGGGCTAATCTGAAGCCAGTGCAGCTGCAGATGCTGGAACAGTTGGAAAAGCAGCTCAGTCTAATGCAACAGAATCAGCAGGTATGGATTGTGTAAAGTGGTGCATAGCAGACTGCAAACTTTTTGGTAGATTTTAATATTGATGGTTTGCCATCACTCTTGCTCTGCCCAACAGATGAGGCTGAATGCTATGGGTCAGATACGACCCAGTGTGTCCAACGGTCCTATAGCCGACCCCTCACTGCCTATGAACTCTAATTCCACATCCTCCTCTCACCATCCACACATTGCTCTTTCCCGCACTCCCTCCGCCCACTCACGATGCGCTGCTCAGCCAATAGCCAATGGACCTGTCCCTGCAAGCCCCGCCCCATGCACGGCTGGAACCCTGGGTAACACAGATACCGTCTCTGTGGGCAATAATCACCTCCCAGGAATGGGGAGCAACATAAATGTGCCTTACTTGCGGCAAAACGCACTACCTCATAACTGCACAACCCCCACCAGCAGCAGCATGGATGATGAACCGTGGAAAAGCCAACACATCAACTCCACTCAGGTGAGATTATAATGTCCTCGTCATTATCATGTTATGTACAATATTGAAGTTCTTTAGGGTCGCTCTGTGGCAAATCATCCACATTTCAGAAACGTCTCCAGCTCAAAATTTGGATCTTTTTTTTTTTTTCTGAAGAAGGGTAAGCATAGTGATGAAAGCCAAAATATTACATGCCATGGATAAATATTTACTGTATTATGTATAAATGTACTGTATAAATATTTCTCTAGTTTTGAACGAAGGTAGGATGTAAGATGTATTTCACTGTGTAACCCAGTATTCCTTTCACTTTATCTTTATTGCAGGGGCTTCAGAAGAGTCCAGGTTCATGTTCAGCAGGTCCTAATGGCGAGCAGCCTTTCTCTTCCGCTGGGACTTCCCAGCCTACCCCGGCAGCCGGCACTGGCGTTCCAAATCAGGTCGGACGTTCGGCCACAGCCAGCGACACGTTAGCGCCGGAGGCCAGTCACAATCACATCCCCTCCCCTCGCTCCTCTCACTCTGCTACCTCAGGTGGACAGCAAAGCATGGTTCACACCAAAGAGAGCAAGCCTTCAGGAAATGGGCATTTCGCAGGGACGCCTAACAGCACTGCCACTGCAGAAGGACTGCCTAATCACGTCCATCAGGGCCAGGCAGACGCTGCTGGGGCGAAACCCTGCTCACCAGGTGTACTTAGTTCAGACAATCCTCAGCTCTCTGCCTTGTTGATTGGAAAAGCCAATGATAGTAATCATAGTAATTGTGGTGGATTGACAGCTGCCGGCACAAAGGTTAACAACATTCACCCAAGTCTGCACCCGGGGCTTAAGGCACAGGAAAACTCGGTGGCCTCCTCCCCGTGTTCTGCCATGTCCACAGCCACACCCTCACCCAAATCTGCAGACCATCACAGCACTCAGAACAGTGTTAACAGCCCCACGCTCAATGGCAAAGGTCTGGAGGACTCTCAGAGCCCCTTGAAGGTGGCATCTCCGCTGGTTTGTCGTAAACCCATGCCTCCCTCGTTTGCCCCATGGTCCTCTGTCTCCATCTACCCCAGCTCCAGTGACGTGCTGAAAGCATGCAGGTAAGTTACTCATTCCTGCATGCATTTGAGCCTAGTTGTGCAGAATTCCAAACAGGCTTCTTGACAGGTTTTGTGCTGTTTTTTGGTTATGGTTATACTAAGCCACCTTAACAGGATTATCAGCTTTTTTTGTGTGCATGTAATTACATCCAGCCAGACCACATCATCACCTTTTCTGGCGTAATACAAATCCATCCTAGTTGATTAGGTTTAAATCTGCTGTAAAATGATGTTTTAGGCTGATGACTTGATGTATTGTTTTGATTTGTGCTAAAAAAAAAAAGATTTGCAGTGGTGAGCTGTTAATTATTTGGAAGGTAGTTGAACTACTGCTTTTGTTTAGTATTATATTTTTTATTGTATTATATTTTGTCATTTTATAAGCTTTGATGGGAAACTTCATGGGAGTTGTCTACTAACTCTGTTAGAGGTGTGTCTGTAAAATATACAGCTGTGTGGTTCTCTTCAAGATGGTCTTTGATTGCTTTCAATACACTGCCAATATACAGTAGTAGCTGTATACGGTACCCTTTAAAAGTTTGGTGTCAGTATGTTTTTGTTTTTTTTTAAGAAATTGATACTTTAATAGAGCAAGGATGCACTAAATTGATCAAAAGTAACGGTTAAGACGTTTGTAAGTTTGCAAACAATTCTATTTCAAATTAATATTGCTGTTCTTTTGAACTTTCTATATTAATCAAAGAATCTTGGAGGGAAAATATTCCAAGGTTTCCAGAGAAATAATATGTGGCACAACAGTTTTCAACATTGATAATTATAAGAAATGTTTTGTGACACTAAATATATTAAAACAGAAAAGTTATTTTAAGTTGCAAATGTAGCCTTGGTGAGCAGAAGAGACATTAAAAAAAAACTACAGACTCTAAAATTTTAAATAGTAGTGTATAGTATGCAGTTTTATTTATTTGTTTGTTTATGCAGTGCTAATTTTATATGCATTTGCTAACCTATCTAGTGTAACTAGAAATAAGCAAGACTGATAAATTCTTGCTTGCAAAATATTTTATTAAAAAAGCTATTCCATCATTAAAAATGACAGTGAAAGTACCACACTACCCAACAACACAGAGACTAAGCTGCAGAAAATGTATGGCAGAGTCAAACTTGTCCATTTTTATTAGAGCCCGACCGATATATCATTTTGCCGATATTATCGGCCGATATGAGCCTGTTGCCGATATATCGGTATCGGCAAATATGCCGCCGATATGAAATTTTTTTTTACAGAACATATAATGCAGATCAATTGCTTGAAGTGGTGTAATTACTTAGTTTGTCCAGCAGAGCGCGCTCCATTGTTTGCTACTGGCGACCTGGATGAAACGCTTTAAAGCTTAAGTCTATGGAAAACCATTGAAACTTTGAACGTTCCATAGGGCTCCTCGAGCTGAAGGGATCCCCCGAATTTGGTAGAGATCTGCCGGCACGTTCGCAAGATAGTGACACCAGTCAACACTTTCACTTCAGTAAGGAGGTCTCTTGTTCAGGCAGCATTCACGCGTTGTCTTATTCGACCGTAAGTGCCCTGCGAAGTGTACTTCACATGAAATTCCGCCATGATTCCAGTTCCAAGGGAACGTACACGTTACATTCAAAGGGCATTAAAGTGTGCGAGACGTGAAATTATATTGTATTTATTTATTTACAGATGGAGTTTGACAATGAACACATTGCAACCATGCGTGGGACGGCCCACATAAACGAGCAAAAATGCTTTACATGTCTTGAAATAATAATTTCTAAACATTGACTGTCAGTCTTTATTCATCTGTTTTTGTCGTTATTTCTCATTAAAATTAATTAAAGTAAATAGTGTAAATTACATCGCTAATGTTATAGAATAGCACATTGTAACGCTGTTACAACGTGCCCTATCTGCGAAACTGGAATTTAAAACTGGTTAGTGTCTTCTGCTAGTAATCAAAGCATTAAAAAACTATCTGAACTGATAAATAACAGATTGGAGATTAAAATAACAGCAGATTTGTCTCATTTAAAATAAATAATAAAAAATAATAAATAATAAAAACTGAGATAATAAATTTACTTAAGCCAGAATTTAAATGTAATATTCAAACCACGTGTGTTACAACTAACACCCCGTTCCTTTGTGCATCACACTCATCGCAATTTTATTGTTAAATTGTTAAATGCCCTTACATATCTGTCACCATTATAAGTGTTTGAATGGTCTTTCAATGTTAAAGTTGGAAAGTTGCTGTCAGGAAAATTTGGGCCATTTGGACAATTTGAATACTCCTGTCATGTTAAATGGCATTTTTATTGTATAGCAAAAAAGTGTTTGTCCATATTTTTCTACATTTGGACCCAATTGGTGTGTAAGGGTTTGAAACCTGAACCTCATATTCCCATTTGATTCCCAATTGTATCCTTCCTCTATTGTCTCTTGTTGCTAATTTAGAAATGCTGAAAATCTCAATCACACATTCCCTCCAAAACCATGCCTTAAAAAAAAAAAACTTTTGAATTAATAATAATAATAAATTATAGTTATTATTACTATTTAATAATTAAATATTTAATACATTTATTTTAGTTTTTATCCTTTGTTTTCATCGGTTGACATTTTTGGTGTCTTTCTCTTCATGCCAGACCTAGGATTGTTCTCTACCAAGACTCTGGTGGAGGCCAACCCAGAGCACCTGGTGGAGGTGAGGACTCAGTTATCTCAGCCCACTGATGAGAACTGGGATGTGACGGGAAGCAGGAAGATGTGGCGTTTTGAGAGCAGCCGGTCTCACACCACCATCGCCAGATACGCTCAGTACCAGGCCTCGTCTTTCCAGGAATCGTTGCGGGTGAGTTGTCATAATAAAAAAAACATGCAATCCTAAAATTTTGAGAGAATAATTCATTAGTGGCATCAGTTTAACATGGCGTTAGATTTCTTGGTCGTAACACACATACAAAAAATAATGGTTAGAATCTTGCACTCTTGATTGTCCATTCGCTCTGAAGTGGGGCCAGTATGTCAACAATCCACATTTCCTCCTCGTGCCAGGAGTTTGAGTGTTTGTATGTTTTTGTGTGACTGTCATGCCATTTCACACTCAATGTTGCTCACCCGCGAACTGTACCCGAGTCCGCCTAAAAAGGGTGGTCTGGGGTGTGGTTAATGCGAACTCCGGTACGGTTTGCTTCTGATGTGAATGCAGTCATACTAATTCACGGAAGTGAACTGCTATTAATGACCTATGAATTGATCAAAATATGTATGTGTGTGTTTACACAATCGCTTTCCTGATAAGCGTGAGTGACATGCTGCAGCAGAGAGAATTTAGATCTCATTTCTGCTCGCACCGTGTTCTTTTGAACCTTTGCATTACAGTCGTGACAAAAAGAGACGCATATGGTGCTGTGTTGGCACTTTGGAAACGAAGCTAAATTTTTAAATTCCAAAGTACAAAAATGAAGCAAGCAAAAAAACACTTCATGATTGGTGCTTTGATTCTAATGGTTGCTTTTTCGCATTTTGTATCTAACAGGAGGAAAATGAAAAGAAAGGGCAGAAAGACCACTCAGACACAGAATCTGCTCCATCAGAAAAGTAAGTCCATGTTCAATTAAAGTCTAAATGGTTTAAACACTTTTGACAGAACCATAGTCTTTAACTGGAGCCTGCGTTTGTTTCAGTGTGGTCCGCAGAAGAAGAGGTCCCTTTAAGCACATCAAGTTTGGAACCAACATTGACTTGTCAGATGAGAAAAAGTAAGTGCTCACTGGTTTTGTTCCTCTTCTAAATGTTTCTTTATTCAAGTGCAAACCATCTAACATGAAATAGAAAGTTGCAGATCTGCTTGTATGCATTAAAGTCCCAAAGTCATTGTGAAGCCACAACTTGTTTAATGAAAATGCATTTGCAGGCACAACATTTGGTTGTAAAATTGCAGATATAGGCACAGCTGTGATCAAGCATCGGTAGGGCCAATATGACAGCATATATATATATATATATATTAGGGCTGCACGATTAATCGCAAGCGATATTTAACGCGCATCTTGTCAGAAAGCCGGTTCTTTAATCAGCGGTAAATCTCCATCACCTGCGTGCTTTCACATGGAGCAGCATTAACTACACAGAGCCGTTGTTCACTGACAAGCTGCGCAAAACCACGTTCATATTCGCGCGATTTTTAGAGCAGCTCCTCAGTGAACAACGGCTCTGTGTAGTTAATGCTGCTCAATGTGAAAGCACGCAGGTGATGGAGATTTACCGCTGATTAAAGAACCGGCTTTCTGACAAGATGCGCGTTAAATATCGCATGCGATTAATCGTGCAGCCCTAATATATATTAGGGCTGGTAGTCTATATATATATATATAGACTACCATTCAACCAGACAAAATACTATCAAAAACAGTAACAATGTAAATTATGATTACATTTTAACCCTCATGCTGTGTTCCTGTCGTTTTGACCAACGAGATTTCCTTTTTCCTGAAAATGCTAGTTATCACATTGGACTAAACTTACTGACTCTGAGGTGAAAAAGCTTAGATCAATGAGCCCTACAACCAATCCTAATTGAAAGAAAACAAATTGACAAAGATTGAATCCAAGATTTGGTTATAATTTATCATAATGAGAGATTTACAAGCAATTTTTAAAAGACCGGTCATTTTTGTACCAGTAACACTAAGGTAAAGGATTTTCAGGTTAAAATAGCTGTTTTCTGTGTTTAGACATTTTAAAATGATGATTTAAAATGTGAAATTTTAGCTTTGATTGTAGACTGGATTGCTGAATAGAGCTTTGATAAGAAAATTTGTTATATAATCTATAAAAAAAAATCTTCCTAATGTGCTAATTTTGTAATTGAGAAAATTATTATTACATTTCTTATTAAAAATGAGAGGTTTTTCTGGGTAGAAAATGATGCTCCATGAAGTGTGAAATAGCTACAGTGTAATTTATTTAAAATAGAAATAGTTACAGTAATTTTTAACAAATGTCTTTACAGTAGTTCTTGATCAATTTGTTGAATTCTAGGATAAATGTCACCTAGCAGAATCTGAAAGAACTAATCTTTTAAGCACTTCTTTCTTTAATGGTGAAAAGGCGCTCTATTTCATGTTGTGCTTAAAACCCTTTAACAGTAATAAAATCACTTTAATGCACACCTCATGTGGTTTAGTGCTTCATCAAGATGCTCTAGAGAGAGTTTAATTGAAATCTGAAGGAGGATTGTGTGAGTGTTAAATGGGCCTTTTCAGACCTCTTGCAGAGTTCAGACAGACTCATAGAGTTGTGATGCAACAGGGAGACATGTTAGGTCGCTGCATCTGACCTCTCTGCCCTGTGGCCTTGCAGGTGGAAGCTGCAGCTGGCTGAGTTGAGTAAGCTGCCTGCCTTCATGCGGGTGGTGTCTGCAGGGAATCTGCTCAGTCATGTGGGCCACACCATTCTCGGCATGAACACAGTCCAGCTCTATATGAAGGTCCCAGGCAGCAGGACACCAGGTCAGCTCATTGGCATGCCAGCACATACACATCTCGCCGTGCTTTACAGAGGCAGCGCTCAAATACAGACGTTACAGAGTTGAATGTAGGGATGTTAATAAAAATACTAAACAATTTCTTTTTCCATTCAGGTCATCAAGAAAATAACAACTTCTGCTCTGTGAACATTAACATCGGCCCTGGAGATTGCGAATGGTTTGCCATTCCTGAGCCGTACTGGGGTGTCATGAATGACTTCTGTGAAAAGTAAGCACAATCAAAAATGCTTTAATTCTACTAAAACACCATACTTTGGGTTTAATGTAAAATATGAATTTTAGCATGTTTGTATGGCTTGCATATGTGCTGACTGCCATATTCTTTATGCAGGAATAATATAAATTACCTAATGGGCTCATGGTGGCCAAATCTAGAGGATTTGTTTGAGGCCAATGTTCCAGTGTATCGCTTTATCCAGCGACCAGGTGATCTGGTCTGGCTTAATACAGGCTCTGTGCATTGGGTTCAGGCTATCGGCTGGTGCAACAACATTGCCTGGAATGTAGGACCACTCACTGGTAAATAGTTGCTTATCACTGCTGTTAGACCACTGGATCTGTTCTAAAACCTTGTGAGCTGCTGAAGACCAACTGCCTACATATGCAGCTGTTTTCTGAGGGAGCGACTGAATCATTGTTGAATGTCTAAAGTGACTGTTTAGAGCACTCTACATTGGCAACTTGTTAAAATGCTTTTAAATCTTTTTTCCAAATTAAAAAAAGGTGGTTTCAGCTGTTTAAAAGTCACATTCAATCTTAAAGCTTTTATCAAAGATAAATTTTGAAAATCTTATATAGGTTTTAATTCTTTTTAAGATATTCTATATTTTTTATTGTATACATGTAAAATCAAATCAATTAACAATCTAATTCTCTTGGTTTTGTGTGGTAATTAAATTTTTCCTTAATTATTTTGTATTTTGAGATCACTTTATGAATTAATGAAGGATGCATATATTTAATTTGCAAAGTCCATAAAAAAAGGCTGTCTTGGTAGGCAGCTCACTTGGTTTTAAATGTTACAATTTTGAAGAAAGCGAGGTTTTACAGCCTTGTAAAGTGAAATATAATATCAGTATTGCTTGTATTTAGGTGCTTTAGTTAAAATGTAGTTCATCTATTTGTTAATTGATCAAAGTGTCTAATTCTTATCTGTTCTTCGTCAGTGCATCAGTACAAGTCAGCTGTGGAACGCTATGAGTGGAACAAACTCCAGAATGTTAAATCCATTGTTCCCATGATTCACCTCTCTTGGAACATGGCCAGGAACATCAAAGTGTCAGACCACAAACTCTTTGAGATGATCAAGTGAGTCTGCTCCATTACATTTACGATTCTGGTTCTTTGAGAAGTCGCAATGACAGTTTCTCTTGACTGAAATCTCAAGCAGAGTAACGGAATTATTAAATAAGGTTTGTTCCTCCTCCTCAGGTACTGTTTGTTGAGGACACTAAAGCAGTGTCAGACGTTGAGGGAGGCGCTTATAGCTGCTGGAAAAGAGCTAGTTTGGCATGGAAGGACCAAGGACGAACCTGCTCACTACTGTAGCATCTGTGAGGTGTGTATTCTTCACCAAAGTTTTTTAGATTTGAATTGTATGCAAGTTTTAAATAATAGAAAATAGTTTTACACTCGAAGTAAATGGTTGCTTTGGCACATTTGTTTAAAATTGGACATTGTCAGCTCTGGAAAAAAAAGTATTAAAAATAATTCAATTCTAAAAATGCATGGAAGTGTCATGAAAATGTCAAGAATTTAAGTATATTATTTAAAGTATTTCTAGTTATGCTCAGCTAGTTACTCGTTGGCTTAACATTTCACTTTGCAAATGTGATCTCTATTTAAATTGATTTTTGAAAATTCTTATCCTTTAATCATAAACAATTGGAAGCGTCATTAAAAATGAAGTGGTTCTAAAAGACCTGTGTTTATTCTGCATCTTACTTATGGTAATCATGTTGAGATCACATTGATCATGGATGAAAAACATGCCTGTGATGTTGAAATATATTCATTTTTAGATTCAATAATTTTTTTTTCAACAAATTTTATACAAGGCTTCATTTATAGATCCCAGAATGTTTTTTCAAGAAATTTCATACAAGGCTTTGTAAAATTAACATTCAAAGTTTGTCTTGACACTTTGCTTGCCATTAGGTAATTAATATTATAGAAAATACATACTTTAAAATTTTTACCCGTTTCTTTTGCCATAAAACCTGGTTTTGCCAGAAACATAAAAACTACAGTTAAGGGTTTTTATTTATTTATATTTCAGTTTGTTTTAATTATATCTTCCCATTTTCCATTTTTATTTGATTGCATCTTTTCTATTCATGCATATGTTTTAATATATATTTATCCCAGGTGGAGGTCTTTGATCTGCTGTTTGTCACCAGTGAGAGCAACTCACGTAAGACATACGTGGTGCACTGCCAGGGCTGTGCTCGGAGATGCAGCCCTAACCTTGAGAACTTTGTGGTTTTAGAGCAGTACAGAATAGAGGACCTCATGCAAGTGTATGACCAATTCACATTAGTAAGTCTCAAAGCCCTTATCTTGAGAAGCCCTTGCCTTCTATAGATCTCTGCATAAACCTTTTCTATCACCTTTTTTATATTTGTATGATTAATAGTCTCATGACTCTCACGTGCTTAATGTCCTCTGGCTCTTTCCACAGGCCCCACCCCTGCCCTCCTCCTCAACTTGACGTTAACATTAACGGTTCCTCGGATAACACCCTGGAACGCAACACATCTCTTTCTGATATTCAGGAGACCTGACCCAGTTCCACACCACTGGTTTCTGTAGCAAACCCCACAAGGCTGCTGGTTCTAAGCTGTTTGTCTATGCAACCTTGCCAAGTATGGAGTTTCGGCCCACTGGAGTGAAGTGGGATCGTCTCCATCTTCAGGACTGTTTCAGCTTGTTCAGCACCACTTCTCTTTGAAACACAAACTACAAATAGACTAATTGCTGAGGAAAAATGGTTTTGTGTATATACCACAAAAGGCAAAATCACTCAAAACTACTGACTCTTCATTTTTCTTTTACTGTTGCTTTAAACCTCTTTTTTTGTTTTTGTTTCTTGTCTTTTTCTGTACTTCATGTACGATCTAATACGTGATTTTCTTTTAATCATTTCCTCTTAAGTACTACCGTAGCTGGGCTTTTTTTTCAACATTTTCTTTAGGTAACAAAAAAGAGAAATTTTGTAATGTGAATTTTTCTTTCCTTTTTAAAAATGTTTTGTCTCTTTTTCTTAAGGAAAAAGTTAAGTTGGAGGGGGATAGCCAAGTCACAAAGAAAAATGGGTTGCACATAGACTAAGGAATAAACTTTAATTTGCGTTATATTTCTAATCTTGTTGTAAATTTACACTATTTATAAATATTTATTGCTTGAAAATATTTGTTGATGGAATGCTGGTATTTTTTTTTCAGAGTTCCTGCCATTAAATTTTATGGAGTAATGTCATTTTGAACATTTCTCTTTTTACATTTTCTATACATAAAACGGCTTAGCGAGCATTGTACAGAAACATGAAGATTGATATGGTTTATGGGTTACTAATCAGAGTTGTCTTTGTAATTAAATGATTCTTTTGTGATGGAAAAGCCTTGTCTCGTCCATGAATTATAACATGTATACAATTTGAATAGACTTTTTCTTTTTTTTAAATTTGCACAAGTCTTTGTTTGCTGACTGTGCTTTGATAACATAAACTGGATATATACTGATTACTGATGTTACACAATCCATTTCATGTCATGGTTGTCTTAAGTGCTATTTTCTATATTGCCATACTGCCAAGGTTCAGAAAGTATCTGTGAACTTTATGCTGTCAGTAATAGGCCTTAAAGGGATAGTCCACCCAAAAATGAAAAGTCTGTCATTTACTCACTTCTTATTCCAAACCTGTACGACTTTCTTCTGTGGAACAAAATAGATATTTTGAAGAAGACCATTGGAGACCATTGACTTCTATTGTATGGACAAGAAAAAACAAAACAAAAAACTGACTTTTTATTTTAAATATTTTCTATGTTCCACAGAAGAAAAAGTCCCACAAGTTTAGAAACAACATGAGCGTGAGTAAAAGATAACAATGTTCATTTCTGGGTGAACTATCCCTTTTAAGTGGTTAGTTTTGGTTTAGAACTTGTCACTATAGAGGCATTCAGGATACCTGTATCCATAGAGAGCACTGCATGGCCTTAATGTCTGTAAAATGTCTTTTAAGGTTTGGGCTGCAGCAATTATTCTTTGATCAGACTGAGATTGGTCTGCACAGATATCGAGAGCACTGACTGCATCTTTGGGAAGATGACCTGACTGCACATCATTAGGCGCGAGCAGATTGTTGATAACATGTTTGCAAAGTAGGATAAAACTCTGTGCGGCTCGAACAGTTTCACACGGAGGCGGTCTTTCACAAGATCCACTGAGACAGGAGAAGACATCGAGGTGTTCTGTTAGCAAGTCTTCATCAGGAGGATATCCTGCAGGAAGGAGCAATGTAATGAGTTTAGGTATAACACATGTATGACATAGCACCAGATTTGGTTAAACAATAAATGATCACTATGTAGTAAAGTTCAGTGGCAGAACCAGAGGGGTGTCCAGGGTGGCACTGAATACCCCTGACATCTGATTGGCCACCCCAAAATGTATTATCCTACTATTTCATTTTCCTTGTTTAATCATACTGAAAGAAGCATTTATTTAAGCCTCAAACTCAAAGGACACGATGTGTCTGGTGTGCCGCATCGCACTTTATCTCATCCGGTGTAGCTTCCAGCCTCTGCTAACTCAGGCCACACGTTCATTTTCCTACATCGCAGAGCAAAGAGAGGACACCGACAACACGCTGACAGACAAGACCGAGCAGGTTACTTTTGATAGTAGGAAACAAATTCTCAGCATTCAAATTCTTTTAGTTTTATTAAGAATTTGAAACGATTTACAGTTTTGGAGCTCTTTAGTGGTGTGATGGTTCACATGCGCTCCCGCTTTGCCTCAGTTCAAGCAAAGCAGTAGTGCTAATTCTAATTAGCACGAAATAAACAAGAATGAATATCCGAGGGCATGTTGAAAGATACACTACAACTTACTGAATTTATGTCTCATGTAATCACTCAATGAGTGTTTCAATCGCAGAAAGACAGCAGCTTCAAAACATTGTTACATAAACGCAGAAAATCCATTCAGTGTCCATAAACTAGCAAGAAAAATGTACACTAGTAAAAAATGGTCACGTTATTCTAGAATGTACACCTTATTCTAAAAAATGGTCTAATATGAAACCTTAACAATAGGGTGCCCTGCCTATAGTTTAGATTAGAAAAAATGAGAGAGAGAAAAACATTTAGGCTACTTAATCGCAAGCTTGCAAATTATTCCTGAATAATTCTCACTCCAGGCTGAACTCAAAGTTGGCAGCCCTGTTTGAAGTAAGTTGAAGTTTTAGGTTTCCTGAACAGCATTTACAAAATTCACTGTATAAGTTAATGTTAGATCTTTTCCAACCACTGGTTAATCATATAGAGAAATAAGAGAAATAAGTTCCAATAGACTAACATTTGACGTTACGGTAGGAATGTATAGCAAATGTAGGGTACTGTGAAATAATCAGTAATCGTAGGATTTGTCATGCTTTTTTTATGCCAGGTTGGAGTCATACACTGATTTTCTGTCATGGTCTATGTGCCCCCTGAATTAGCCTTGGCCACCCCAATGTAAAAAACTCGAGCTCCGCCACTGGTAAACCTATGTCATGAATAATTAAAAAACTGATGATCACTTTTTAATTTAATTAATTTATTTCATTTTCTACATTTTATTTGCCCTAATGTTAAAAATAATGTTTTTGAAATAATTCTCTTGTCCTCACCAACGCTGCATTTATTTTATCGAAACACAGTAAAAAAAAAAACAGTGATATTGTGAAATATTACAATTTAAAATAATTATTTTCTATCTGAATATATTTTAAAATGTAATTTATTCCTGTGATGGCAAAGCTGAATTTTCAGCATGTTTACTCCAGTCTTCAGTGTCACATGATCCTTCAGAAATCCTTCTACTCTGATTCTATGCTGATTTGGTGCTCAAGGAATATTATAAATTAAATAATTATTATTATTATTATTAATGTTGAAAACAGTTGTGCTGCTTAATATTTTTCCAGGATTCTTTACTGAATAGAAGACTTGAATTACACTTGAAACATGACAAAGTAAGTTTGTTTGTGTACATGGTAAAAGCAAATATTTTACCATAAAATCTATTTACAGGTTGCTGCATACATGACTAAGCCAGAACTGACCTTCCTGCAAGTCAATGATCCCTATGGTACTGGTATCCACAATGAAGACCCTGCTATCATCCAAGGTACCAAACATGTCCTCTGAGATGTTCGTGTAGAAGAGGCTGAACTGGAGGCTGTTGGAGCTCAGGCTCTGGGTGATGTGAAGAAGCTGATAGGCAATGTCCGCACGGCGCGCCAACGGAGAGGAAAACAGGCTCCTGAGGGGTTTGCTCCCTGCCCAGACCATCATCCTTCCACAGGAGCCATGGTAGCGGAGGAAGGGCCAGCCCTCCGTGCCTGGAAACATCTGTAGGCAGAAAAGTCAAAAGTAGGGCTGAAAACAGGAAGCGAGGGAGCTCGAGCATGCAATGCCAGTGTGTACATTTGCACTTACTTTATATATACACTACCGGTCAAAAGTTTGGGATCAGAACGATTTTTTATGTTTTTTTAAAGGAGTTTCTTATGCTCATCAAGGCTGCATTTATTTGTTCAAAAATACAGGAAAAATGTAATATTGTGAAATATTATGATGTAAAATAACAATTTTCTATTTTAATATACATTAAAATCTAATTTATTCCTGTGATGCAAAGCTAAATTTTCAGCATCATTACTCCAGTCTTCAGTGTCACATGATCCTTCAGAAATCATTCTAATATGCTGATTTATTATCAGTGCTGGAAACTGTGCTGATTAATTTTTTTTTTGGAACCTGTGATACATTTTTTCAGGATTCTTTGATGAATAAAAAGTTAAAAAGAAGAGCATTTATTTTAAATAGAAATATTTTCTAACAATATACACTACCGTTCAAAAGTTTGGGGTCAGTACATTTTTATTCTTTCCTTTTTTTTGAAAGAAATTAAAACTTTTATTCAGCAGGGATGTGTTAAATTGTTAAGAAGTGATAGCAAATATTTATATTGTTACAAAAGATTTATATTTTGAATAAATGCTGTTCTTTTAAACTTTTTATTCTTCAATAAATCCTGAAAAAAGAGGCAAGAAACGTTTTATGTTTTCGAAATATTAGACATACAAGTAATGCTAATGTGTGCATATTTTTTAATATTATTTGCATATAGTTCAAAATTATTACTTCCCAACTAGAATTAGACCTAAAATTTCCTTCACCATTCTGTTTGTTTATATTTTATAAAACAATTTGGTCCCCCCCTGTGTTCAAGACTGAGTTAATGCATTGGGAATGCACTGGGAATCGAACCTATGACCTTGACGTTGCGAGCGTCATGCTCAATTGCTGCACAATGTGCAATTGGCGGCCATCTTATTGTTATACCTGCATTATGAGAGGTTGTTGATTGACAGCCAGGGTATAAAGAAGTCTGAGTTTGTCCTTTTCACTGAAGTGCTTCATCTGCACACTTGCCACATCGGTCACTTCAAAGTAGCGTCGCACAATGCGGTCCAGCAGCCTCTGAGATGGACAGCTCAGCATCGGGGTCACCAGACCCTTAGAGAAAGAGTTTATTAAAAAAAAAAAAACAACTCATAGGTTTTCAAATGATATCTATAGGGTGTTGTTTATTCAACTATGGGTTTGTTTGTTTTGCACTTTATTTAAAACAAAATGGTTTGTTGTGGGGGGAAATTACATGCAATTTAGAAACTCCCATATAACATATTTAAAGTTTGGCTACAAAGGAAGAAATACACTTGTTACCTTCATCTTCACCAAAACATTAAGAACCATTGATAATCAAGAAAAAAATGGCCACATTGTAAGTCCTAAATTGGCACCTCCTAGTTTTCAAATGAATAACCCTTTGAAATGTAATTGTTCAGACCTTAAATCCTGAACTACTGCTGACCTCAAATAGACATCAGAATACAGAGACTGAATGCAGACCTTCACCATGCTGGGAAGCAGTAGGTTGGAGCGGACCCATCTTTGGAAGCGTGACGTGGCCCTGAGGACAGCTTCAATGCTGCAGGATTTCCCTTTGCCTGCTGAGGTGCAAATGCTATTGTCTGATATCTGTTGCAGGGGAGGAGACATCAAGTGGGACAGCACCACAGGTCTCCAGCCCACTGTGCTGTCTGTATAGTTCCCCTCATATGAACGCACATCTGCTGAGGAGAGATTAGACTGAGCAGTCAGCCATCTTTCAAACCTGCGGTGAAATAATCAGTGTCCACATTAGCTTCCTGTTTTTGCTTTCATTGCTCATGCTCCCTCGGATCAATGATTAGATACTGTGAGCTGCACATTTTGAAGACAATTTTGATGTAGAAAAAGGCAGCTTTCTACTGACTTTTGATTTTCCAATAGCATGCAATGCTCTTATTTGAACATATATAGGCTACAAGCAGAAAGTTATTTAAGCTGGATAGTTCATTAAAAATGTACTTCATTTATTTAGACATTTTTGTATTTGGACATTTGGATACCTTGTTCTGGGGATCCTATGCTTGTATTGTAGTATATCTTTAAAAACTCTCTTTAAGGACAAAGAGAATATTCTTCTCTGACTTAATAGCAAAAATACTAGTTTACCTTATTTCATCCTTGAAAAACTTCTTGCAAATGGATGTTCCAATGCAGGCGTTGCATTTATCCAAACCCAAGAGG